AAAAAAAAAAGTGATAAAAACTTAGTTTGATCACAGTTGATTCAAAAAATTAAAAACCTCAAACTTTTGGTAGTAAATTTAAAACAAGCACAAGAGTGTAATGTAACGGTTTAACATAAAAGAAAATGGAATGTATTGTTAGGATGTATCAATGGATGTGGAATGTCCGGATCACAGGAAGCAAAGGCTCAGATGAACTCTGGACCAAGCCCTTGTTACCCAGAACGACAGCAATGCTGCTTCTGGGAAGCAGGTTAGCAAATGACAGAGCCCCCAGACGGGAGGAAAGCTTGGAGCAGCGACCCTGGATAAGAAGAGGGAACTGAGAAACAAAGTTTTCAGATGTTTGCCAGGCCGTCCTATGGAGGAGGGAGTCTAGAATGTGAACCACTGGATGGAAGTTACCGAGAAACGAGTTTCTATGTAATATAAAGAGGAACTTCTATACCACGCCTATGGCAGACAGAGTAACAGCCCCAAACATGTTCCCATCCTATCCCTGGCACCTGTGACTACACTACTTCATATGGTAGCAGGGACTTTGCAGATGTGAATAAGTTGAGGATCTTGGGATAGGGATGTTTCCCGAATTATCCTGGGGGCCCAAGCGTGTAGATAAGAGGGAGGCAGGGGCATCACATAAAGCAGTGTGGCAGTGGAAGCAGAGGTCACAGCTAGACAAGGTTTGAGGGTGCTACACGGCTGGCTTTGCAAATGCAGAAAGGAGCTGCAGCCAGACAACACAGGTGGCCTCTACTAGCTAGAGAAGGCAAGAAAACGGATTCTCCCCTAGGGCTTCTAGAAAGCATGCAACCCTGCTGATGCCTTGCTGTTAGTCAAATGAGACTGATATCAGACTCCTGACTTCCAGAACTGGAATAGAATAAATTCATATTGTTTCAAGCCGCTGAGTGGAAACAAGAAATAAATAACAATATCTAACAAGGGGATGGTCATTACCAGCTCCAGGGAGTCCCAGGGGGTAACCAAGAACAAATGCCATGCAGAGCGTTCGGCATGGATTGGGCAGTAAGCTGGAAGCCCACAGCAGACCCCTCCAATTCCCAGAGTCCACGTTACACGGCAACGCCTCCTCCTGCTTCCAGACAGCACAAGCGCGCCCACCACAAGGCCTGCCTATCTTCTATGGTCTCCCAGGAGAGCCGCGAGAGTGACACTGTCCGCCACCACCTGAGTGAAAGGCTGGCTTAGGGGCGTGTCCTACCAGCACCCAAGCCAGACTCTGGCTCAGAGCAAGAGTGCTTGCTGGGCCACTTACCTGAGCAGAGGACGCCCTTGTTCCTGGCACAGGAGAAGTTGTCACACTCGCAGAAAGGCCCGTAGATCTTCCCGAACTCGCTCTCAAAGCAGGAGCACTGGTTGCAGCTGCACTCCCCGCGCCCGCTGCACAGAGGCTTGCCCTCCGCCTCCCGGCAGAGGTTCTGGTACACGCTGTGGTTCTCCCCCTCCTGGCACTCGCACTTGGTGCCTAGGTGGCTGGGGTTGCACTCACATAGGCCGCAGATGTAAGTCCCGTTCCCGCTGCACCTGGCGCTGTCGGGCTCCAGCCCTGCGCTGCAGCTGCACGTGCAGTTGTAGGTGACCCCCACCTCCAGGCTGTCCCGGAATCCCACGGGCCGCAGGGCAAACGTGTGCTCCACAGCTCTGCCGGGGCAGCTCCGAGCCTCCACTGACACCTCGAAGGAAGCCTAGGCGGAAGGAAGGGAGGAGACATCGTGGCCACCGTGAGTTGGGACCGCCCGGGGATCTGCATAGGCCTCCTGCCCCAGCCTGGACGAGCACAGCCGAAGGCCTTGTGGAAGAGCAGCTGCCAACCCCACCCCTTCTGTACTCACAGGGAGAGGCACTGAGGTGGCCAAACTAGGACGAGACCTCGAAGGGGGCAGCCCCTGCCCCTACAGAGAGAGAGCATGCAGCGAGCTCACGTCTGGCCACATCACACTTGGTTCTTTAACGGTCATTACCTCTTCATCCTCATGACCCTGAGAGACGGGGCTCTGCAGAAAGCTGCAAGGATGCTCACTCAAGCGCACTTCTCTCCTCGCCTCTGCCCTCCCCGTTCAACACTCACAGGGCACGCCTGAGTCAGGCATCACACTGGATGCACGGTGGCACTCCCTGTCCGAGGTGCCCACCTGGGGGTGCCACTTGCCCCTCTCGATTGCTGACTCCTGAGCCCTCTTTGCAGACACCCAGGAGCCCCCATCCCCAAGTCCTCTGCCAGTGATTCTCCCGGCTGCCTCTTTCACAGGCAGCCTTGGTGCCAAGGTCTCATAGAAGAGGCGTCATCGGGGGAAATGCACCACACAGCTGGACAGGCTTTTTCTTTTCAAACAAAACATGTAAGGAAGTGTTTCTAGCTTTGGAGCTGCTCGTGGGTTGCCATGGAAACAGGCAGCAAGGTGGCCCTAGCTGGTGGCATATGGTGGTGTGTCCAAGATGCCCACCAGTACAGTCCGCGGTGGAAGACGACTAAGCATGAGGCTCGGTCTGACCCACAGACAGGGAGCGGTCATGCCCTGATAGATGCCAGCATGATGTGCCTCTCCGGAATGGGGGCTCTCCCTGGCCCCCTGAACAGTTCACTCCATAAACTCACTCACCATGTCTTGGCCCAGAGGGCTTTAGTTTTCAAAAGGCTTTTTAGATCATCCTGAAGCCTAGAATGGGCTAGGAACTGCTTTAATTCTATTATCTGGTGGAATAAAGTTGATTTTCATTTTATTTTACTCTTAAAGGTTTCCTTCTTTCTTCTATGAGCAAGACAGATAGAGAGCACCCCGAAAAGGGTCTGGATGCCACAATCCACCCCCAGCCTGCCCTGGGCACACATGTGCCTGGTGTACTCAGGGAGGCTTCCAGACATGAACCCAGAAACTTTCCCACGTGGGTCAGCCTCACAGAGCACCGCATTTTACCACTGCACCAACATCTGGCCCCAAAACTAATTATTACAGTCATCAGTAACCTGCTTTACTAGGGGTACTTTAGAGGTATTTTTTTTCCTTTGGAGAACATTGAAAATATTTTTCTCAATGTTCTTTTCTACAGATCCCTGTCATTTTGAAATCTTCACTAGTTCTAAAAGTCCTTTGGATAACATTGAAAATATGTTTCTCAATGTTCTTTTCTATAGATCAATGTCATTTTGAAATCTTCACTAGTTCTAAAAGGCTTCTCTGCAGATTTTGTGACATCTAGCGACACCGTGAGGTGGGAGGGTGAGGGCATTGTGGGACTGAGAACAGACCTGGCTCTCTATGTCCTAGGGAAAGTCCTGCCTGGCAGCAAGCCATGTAACATTGAAAATATGTTTCTCAATGTTCTTTTCTATAGATCAATGTCATTTTGAAATCTTCACTAGTTCTAAAAGGCTTCTCTGCAGATTTTGTGACATCTAGCGACACCGTGAGGTGGGAGGGTGAGGGCATTGTGGGACTGAGAACAGACCTGGCTCTCTATGTCCTAGGGAAAGTCCTGCCTGGCAGCAAGCCATGGTTCTAGGGGACTAGACAAGACACCCGGGACTTGGCATTAGCCCCAAGGCTTAACAGGAGACGGAAACAATGACCAGAGTCCAGGCCAGAAGACTCTGGAAGGACCACGCCAGCTGCAAACAGTGGGACTAGCTCCACCTCATCCTCCATCCCTATGTGAGAGGGTGGGAGAAGAGAAATAGCAGAGACTGCGAAAGCAAGCTCAAGGCTGAGTTCTAAGGCCCCAACGTGCACAGAGGCTTTCAAAGTAAAGAAACGGGATGGGAATCCACCAGGCTCTGAAATCTGCCACTGACGGCACTAACAGCTACCAGTCTCCAAGCGCCTCGCTATACCAGGCCTCTGTGGGACATTTCCACGAGCATTTCTTTTATACCCCTAGAAGGAGGCATCCTCATCTACCAAGGAGAAAATGGGTCTGGTGGGATCCGAGCTTAGTCCCGGGCACACGCAGGTGAGAGCTGGGCTGGGCCTAGAACCCCGCTATGCTCTCTTTAGCACGTCACCTCCTGGTAGGGGAAGGAGGTAGACACCAGGTTTGTACATCTGGGTAAGAGGGGAGCTAGCCTGGCTTACTGCAGGGACCGCTTCGTTGCAACCTCCAATTCTTCTAATTTTCTGCTTTGTGCTGGGAATGATCTGAGCCTGCATATGGGAGGGGTCAGGGCTGAGCCTGATAGAAGCCATCTGTGGGGCTATTAAAAAAGCAGAGGTGGGGGCCCACAAGTGGTGTGGTGGTTAAAGTGTTGGACTCTCACATGGCCAGCAGCAGTTCAAGTCCTAGACATGGTGGCTTGAAGTTCATGCCAGGCGCATGTGCATGCGTGCCCCAAGTCCCAGGAGGAAAATGGAGAAGGGATTATAGTGTGACCATCCCCCTGGGTGAGTGATTTCTCACTTTCTCTCTTACTCACTCTTAGTCTCTCTGGCAAGTGCACATGCTCTAGTGCAAAATCCTTAAAAAAAGAATGCAGAGGTGAATGGAGCCTTTGAGGAGTTGACGCCACACCTCCCTTCTGAGCCAAAAGAGAAACAGGGACCTGCTTGACTTCCTAGGGCTACTGTTTACCATGTTAAATGAAAACGTCTCTGTCCCACAAAGGTATCTGTAGGTCGGAAACGGAATTAACTACAAAGCAATAACTGGACCAAGAGCGAAAAGCATCTCATGATGAAAAGGCTGTGGGGAGTGTCCTTCTGTGAGTACAACCTCCTCCCATGAAAACGTGCCTGTGTCGAGAGACCAGCAGTTAGCGTAATGGCTATGTCGCTGGACTCCCACGTAGTCGACTGCGGTTCGAGTCCCGGACCCGGTTGCTTAAACTCACGCCGGGCATGTGTGTGTGAGTGCCCAAGATGAGGAGAAGGGATTGAGGCATGGCCATCTCCCCTGGGGGTGATTTCTCGCTTTCTGTCTCTCTCTGTCTGTCTGGCGAGCGCATGCGCCCTATAGCAAAAACCTCTCCAAAAAAAAAAAAAAAAAAAAAAGTGCCTGTGTCTAGGCATAAAGTAACCACAGAACTGTAACACATCTCCGGAGTCTTGCTGATGTGTCTGTGTTTGCCTGGGAGTAAGTAAAGGGGTCGGGAGCCCTGACTCAGGGCAGGCACCCAGATACTCCAGGATATAGCAGCCCTTCGGCACTCCTCCTGGCTGGGCCTCAAGCAAGCCCTGGCAGCCGTCCTCAGCCAAGGCTTTGGTCCAGCTGAGGGGCTGTCTGGCCCCATGCAGCCCAGCATGCACGCAGCTGCCTGATAACCCAGAACAGCGCTGTTGACCTCAGCCCTGGGCCTTCGCTCCTGCTGGGCACAGGAATGCACTTCAGGAACAGCAAGTACATCTGTTAGCTTACTCCTCCATCCGGAGAGTATGTCTCCCCTGTCGAGTTAGGACAGAATCCAGAGAGGTTAGGAGGCAGCTGGAATTAGGCCTCCTTGCTTCTCTCCCCGACTGCTGAGGTCTCCCACTTCCTGGAGACTTCATTGGCCCTCTTGGAGATTCCAGAGGAAGGTCACAGACACAATCGCCCTCCCGCCCAGTCTCGTTGTTTAAACCTCATTGGGATGCTCCTGGTTCTCTGCAGGGCCGCTGGCCTGATCCACCCTTTCACAAGGGCTGCCCAGCCCCCACCCAAACCCACCAAACCATGGGCTATGCGGATGCCAAGTCCACTCGGAGCTCAATGGAACAAAGAGCTGGGATGGGCACAGGGCATGGAGCTCCAGAGGAGTGGACAGGCATGGGGTGGGAGGGCGTGGGAAGCCCATGACGGGCTCACTGGGTCCTTTGTACTGGGCCTTAGTGTTAGCCCCACAGCAGCCACTTGCATACTGATTTGTCAATGCTAGTTAATGAGAAAGCCAACTCCCAGTGGCGGGGTCTACTTGGTCAGCCCTTGTTGATGTTAGGATCAAGGGAGAAAAATCAGGGAAACGTCTAAAATTGTTGCAGCACCTCACTGGATTTTGGGGCTTTCAAGTTTTTATTTAAGGAGAATTTCTCTTTGAGGACATCCCTGTCCCTTCCTCCTCTCCCACCACCTCTCCAGTTTCTCATTGGACAGATGTCTTGACCCAGAGAACACAGGGTCGTCACAGAACCACTGCCTGTGCTGCCTGGCCCTCCACCACCTCTGCAGGAAGCTGGAATTATGAGGAAGTGAGAACCACCTGGCTGCCACTTCACCCAGCTGTCCTGAGGCTGCCTCCACATGATGAGGGGGCCGTGTCATCCATCGACTGCACCCCGGGATACCTGATGACAGCTGAACTTGGCTACTTTTCCTACTCTTGCCATGTCCTCCAAACACACGGCACCAGAGAATGGCAAGAGCCACATGCCAAATAATGGCCAGATCCCTTGGCTTGGCATGTATGTTGCACCAGTGTGGCCCAAGCCAGTCACATCCCCTCATTCTCAAACCCACTCCTGTCACCTCATGGCTGTTACTCTCAGTGGCTTTCTGTTTGCAGGAGGGTGGAGCTCCCTTGCTCTGCACATGCTATGTCCAACAACGGACCATCTCATGCTCCCTTCTATGTCTGGGCAACTCCTACTCATCCTCTGAGCCTCTGCTCAACAGCGTCCCCTCTGCCATGCTGGTCCCGTCTTCCTGGGGCTTTCTACAGCACCATGGGTGGACTTGAATGTGTGCTCTTTACCCCTACCAGACTCTGGGGCCCTGACTTGTC